TTACTCTATTCCTCCCCAGCTAAACTATTACTTGTAGCCTCTGACCCATGGAGGACAGGGAGAAGCCCTTACAGCACCATAGACACCAGACTGAGTATTGCATAAAGGTGGACACCACCAGGAATACTGCCTTTCAGTGCAAAAAATAATTATAATAGACATCCACATTCTGATTATTTCCATGGCTAAAGCTAAGCTCAATATTTTGTAGGGAGCTCACTGCAGTTGAGAAGAGAAAGAAATGCAGGTAGATTTGATAGAAGTGGCCCCAGGGTGTCAATGCTGCTTAGAGGCTCTCTCTAATGAGGCCTGGACACATTGTTTAGAAATCCCCAAGAGGTTGGCTTTATCATATGCTTTCCTAATTCATACAGTTGAAAACCTGTATCTATATTGCTTCTCCAGAGATTTGTGAGTTGAGGTCTATAAAATGATTTTTACATTTAACTACTTTATAGTCAAGAAAACCTACCTATGAGTTTTTGGGAGGTCCAGTTTGGGAGGTCTTTGGATAGCATTAGTGTGATGTATACAGTAATTCAATAATTAATAGTTTGCTCAAGAGAATTTCAGGCAGACACCTTGTATATAGATGGTATCCAATAAATATTTCTTACATTGGATGGAGTTTAGTTTCTAATCTGGGGAGATCAGGCCTTCAGAATGGTGGCCGCAGGTGTGGGCTTGTACTACATGGCTTGTGGGTCTTCCTAGGTGTAGGAAGGCCTGTCTTAGGAGAGAGATCTAAGTTTGCCCCGTATCAGAGGGCAGTGGCTGTGAGAAGTTGGGGAAGGGAACAAGAACACATGTTTTCTGTTTAGACTAGGGGCACAGGTAAGTTATTCCATTCTCAGAAACTCAAGTTATTTTCTTGTTTGTCCAACAGAGATAATAGTCCTGAACCTGCCTATTTCAGAGTTGTATTGATTATGAGAGAATATCATTGTGGGGAACCAGCAGTTAGTGTAATGGCTATGTCGCTGGACTCCCACGTAGTCGACTGCGGTTCGCGTCCCGGACCCAGTGGCTTAGAACTCACGCCGGGTGTGTGTGCGTGCGTGCCCAAGAGCCCTAGAGGAGAATGGAGGAGAAAGGATTGTGGCGTGACCATACCCTGGGGCGGGGGGTGATTTCTCGCTTTCTGTCTCTATGTCTCTCTCTGTCTGTCTGGCAAGCACATGTGCCCTATTGCGAAAACTTCTCAAAAAAAAAAAAAAGAGAGAGAGAGAATATCATTGTGCATGGAATGCTAAGAAAAATGAAGAAATTCATAATAAATGTAAGATACTAGGATGCATTTCCCAAGACAAAGCATGATGTTTCTTCCTACACCTTCCCCGGGAATGGAGGGCTGCTTCCTGAGGGTCCCTTTCTGGAATGTGCGTGTCTGGTTTTCTCTCTGATACTATCAGAAGTTGTCTTGCAGTAAGAAGGGGATAAGGAATGAGGTTTGTGACCATGGGGACAGTTGAGCCTTCCATTGGCCCCAAATGTTGGCAGCCTTCTTACAAAGTGAAAGAAATTTGAAAAGCCTAGATGAGCTCATAGGTCTTTTCTACCTCCGAAACAGATGGTGTGATTCACAGACATTTGACATACATGGACCAGGTTGTGACGGCTTCTTCAGTACGCTCAGCTGGAGAATTAAGCAGCACTAATATGCGGAGAATGTAAAGCATGACCTCAGATTAAAACAGAAGGTGGGAGTGTGTTGTTTCACGCTTTAAGCAATGAACTATGACTCAAGGCTCTAAGTTTCTAATCACACATCTTTAACCTTGTGTGTGACACTGGGAGGCTTCCAAGAGGCCCTTCCTAAGTACCCTTAATTTGTGTGTTTTGGTTACTCATCCTTAAAACCAACAGACTTTCTGTAATGATGGAAATATAAGAGGACCTCAAAAAGTTGGTGGACAAATGGAATTAAAGTATGAATTTGTTTGGTGCAGTCCTTTTTTGAAATCCATGCATTTTTTCCTAATATGCATTTTCCTTGGGCTTTCTGAAGACTGCCCCCCCACCCCTGCCTCTATTCCATTGAGTACTAGCTAGTACATGTGTCTACTGGGCACTTGACCCATGGCTGTGAAGCTTAGGAACTACATTTTACATTTGATTTCATTCTTTTTTTCTTTTTAAATTGCTAGAGGGCATGTGCACTTGCCAGAGAGAGAGAAGAGAGCACCCCCCAAGAGGGGCATGGTCACACGGTAATCCCTTCTCCTCCATTTCTCTAATCCTGTCAGGATATTGGACAAGCACGCATGCCTGGTATTTCAAGCTCCTGAGGCTGAAATTCAAACTGGGGTTGACCATGTGAGATCTGGCTCTCTTAACTACTGTGCTACAGGGCCAGCCCCTAATTTAATTTGAAATAAATGACATATATTTGAAAATAGTCCCTCATGGCTACTATATTAGACAATGTAGCTTTTGTCAATTCAAATCTCCTAAAAGCAAGAAGATAAGGTCGAATAAGCAGTAAAAAGTAAATAAACTAATTTATTATCTTTATTTTCAAAACAACTTTTTTTCTTTTTAATTCTTCTTGGAAGGAGTAGCTGAAGTCAGGGCCTGAAGTAAGATTGTACTAAAGTAATAGTAATAATAATTCCCCCCCTTCATCTGTACTGTGTCTCTCTCACAAGTATTATAGTAAGAAGACTTCAAAATGCATGAACACAAAGCTAAGCTGGGTTGCTTTACTCCAAAGCAACATTTTTCTGAACAAACCTGAGATAGTAACCAGTAAGACACAGTTCAAGGAGCATTAGCCTCACCCTGCACTGTTCCCCAATCTCCTCTCAAGGAGACCTCCAGAAGCACAGCGCACATTCTGCTGGCGTTGACCTCAGCTCAGGCCTCCTGTGAGCCCAGAGCGCCGGCTCCTCCCCATCTGCAGATAGGTCAGCCGATAACCACAGAGCAAGAAAAGAGTCAAACCCACAGACGAAAGGTGCTGCTCCCATTCCCTCCAGACACAGAGCATCTTTGCTTTTCGCCTCTTTCATGTAAAGTCTGCGACAGGAAACTGCAGTACAGAATACACCGAACGCTGCAATCGTGCCTTCTTCCTCCCTGCAGCACTGCCACGGCCCAAGAGGGACTGGAACAAACAGAGGCTGCTGCTCTCCTCATCCCTGCCTTCAGGGATGGAGTGTACTTGCCACGCAGAGTATGCAGCTCAGAGAACCTGGCCAGACTGCTCGCCCTCGTTGACTATCGCCCTGTCCTTTGCAGCGTGTACGTCTTCCTACCGTGCTTTTCTCAGGTATTGTAAACGCGAATGGAAGAGGGGCTTGGTCCCCGTAATTCTCCCGCTGCGCTACCCAGCAAGTCCCAGAAGCAATTGGGGGCTTAAGCAATGCTTCTTGATAATGGATAAAAGACTAATAGAGTCAATGGGAGTTTTACGGTTTTTACATGTGAAAGCACCTTTTTTTGAGTTCAACATATTCCAGCAAGCAATACAGTGTGGTTTCATAGGAATCATTGAGGGGGGATGAATGTACTTTCCATGAACTTTTCGAAGACCACTTCTAAGGAAGTTATTTTAAAATAGAAAGCCATTCATTTGAACCCCAAATTATTCCCTAACGAAAAGACCCACATGTAAATGGATAAAGATAAATTTAATTAAAATGTCATGGCTAACCAGTAATAAAAATTCTCTTTCTTTCCCAAGGTAACAAGTCTATAACAAACAACATTTTAAAACAATGATTCTCAAAAGTGGGGTTCTAGGATCCGCTGCCTCAGTATCACCTGGGAACTTGTTAGAAGTACAAATTCTTAGGCCCCACCCCAGACCTACTGGGGCAGCGACGTGGGGGTGGGGCTCAAGAATCTGTGTTATAACAAACAAAACAAAACACTCCCACATGTTTCTAATGCACTAAGGTTTGAGACCCATCCTTTTAAACCACTGTTAAAATAGTTGAAATTATTCAATATTGTATTAAATCGTACTAAATGAATATCCTTAAATGTCAAGCCTTCCTCATTCTGTAAATCAGGTCCGACCAAGCACTGAACACATCCAGCCAATAGTCGCTGTTCTGAGAGCTCATGGCTATTTGTTAGCCAGGATCTGATTAAGCCTGGCCTGGGCTCCCCAAGAGCCCCCTGGGGTGGGGTGGGCTGCTGCTCTGAACTGGGAGCCTGGCCTGGGCTCCCCAAGAGCCCCCTGGAGTGGGGTGGGCTGCTGCTCTGAGTTGGTCCATGAGGCACACCAAAAGGGACAGACGGGGGAGATTCAGATTCCACTGATCAGAGCCTTTAGCTCCCCGACATTCACCATTTTTATCATTCCTTTTTTTGAAGGCAGACAAATATTTAGGACGTTTCAAAGACTATTCCACAAATCACAATCCAAAGAAAGACAGAGCTTATAAAATTAAAAAAAAAAAAAAAAAAAAAAAGGCTTTCAGATCACTAAGCTGTGTGCGCTGAGTACCCCTGCTGACAGAGCACAGTGTTTGAGTAATTCACTGCAAGGTGTGCGTCCACGTTATCCCCCAGTACCCGGTCCTTTACGGCCACACTTGGAAACCAGCATCTTCCAGTCCCAGACATTCTCGCCTTACCCAGCGCTTTCCTACCCTGCCACAGCTACCCTTCAGAACGTAGAGGGAATCACTGACATTTCATTTGTCCAAGTGATTCTCAGGTTTTCAAATTTCTGTCTGATAATCATGTTTGCTCATGTAACAGTCTTTACGTGCCCCAGGAACACAAGGACAGAATGGCGTCAAAGCACCAGATGCACAATGTCGTCTTACGATAGTTGTCATCACGAGAAAAATGGAAATGCAAACTCTCCTCAGTAACTTTCCTCACTTTAAATTGCGCCTCTCATCACGACCTATTACGCCCACGTCGTCATGTGCCATAGGTACTGCAGACTGTCTCCAACATTTCAGACTTAGAAGCTATTTTTAAAGCCAAATACAATCTAGGTTGCTTTTCTTTAAAGCACTTTTTAAGGAAGAACAAAGTAATTAGGGATTTGTATGCATGTGGGCAGTTGTCAACTCACCAAAAGATTGAATGCAGCTGTCAATGAGATCGTCCAGGCTGGCTCCTTTGGCTAAATGTCCCAGAGACACCATCATTCGGAACTGGGTGATCTGGGCCAGGCTAGCATGGGAGGGGAAGGGACTGCTGGCTGGCTTTGCCTCTAGTCTTGCTTTAGGGGCAGCTCTGCAGCCATGAGACGGTTTCCTGGTGGAAGAGAAAAGGCAGTGAGGGCAGGAGAACAGCTAGGGGACCAGTTGGCAGCTCCAGGCTCTGAAGGCAGCTTGGAGAGGGCAAGAGTGGAGAAAAGACAATTAATCCTGGGAGTTGAACTGATAGACGATATACCCCTCCCACTTGGCAAATGCACCAAACGGACGGGTTGGCTGTTAAAGAGACATCTCCCCTGCAAATGACTAGGGGAGATTTCAGGGTTGCGCCCCAGGCTCTTGGCCCAGCATTGGGATTGCTCTGGCCTGATGTCTCCCAGTTTCCAAAGGGGAGAGGCAGAGGCAGGACTATCTTGGAAAACCTTAGTTTCTAGCAGTCATTTTAAAATTTCAGCTGCTAGGCCACTGCTTGGGTCTTAATCATCATTTAAGCTAATCTCATATTCAGCTAAATGTATTCATCTTGAGGAATCATAGAGTTGCCACAGGTCAGATGGCCTGGGAAAGATCTTTAAGGACCTTGGGGGAAATACTCAAAGTCTGAGTACCTGTGTCTAGGGAGTGAGGGGTGATGGTGGCGATGTTTGGATTTTAAGTTCGTCCTACCTTTCTGACGAATCTTGGTTCGCTTTAAGATCCTCTTTTTCAGATGATCATTGTGAGTCATTTTAATCAGTAAACATCATTCTATCAAGTCCTTACTTGATAGAACCCCTTAAGGGTTAAAAAAGCAAGCAACGGGATGAGAACTTTGCTTCAGGACTAAATATATAAGGATCTGGAGATGGCCTAGGAGTCCAGTGGGCCTCCATCCACTCATACTTAGCTTTATCTTTGGTCATATCCCCGTTGGTATAAATCATTTAGCAAAACGACCTATGAAGATTAAATATTTTCTTTTCCTCTCCATTAAGGAAAGATACACACATACAGATAGATATCTATCCTCTTCTAAGGTTGAATAGTGATAGGCATTGTTGCTGGTAACTTCTTTAAACATATCGTTAATTCTCCTTTCCGTACTATGGTTTTGGTTATTTCATACATTGCTACCAAAGAAAAGAAGAGAAAGAACAAAAAAAGAAATATATCTTAGATCCATAACATTAACTACTTTCTAAACATGAAGTGGCACATATTAATCAGTAAGTGCTTATTCTGTGAGTAAGACCTTGTGATAGGCCAGAGGTGACCGCAGTCAGAGAGTCTACGTGAGGGCACATTGTAAACTATAAAACATACCCACTAGATGTTGGCTGTTTTTGTTTTATAAAGGTGATCTAGAAGTTCTGTAATATAAAAATCTAGTTGGAGAATCAGACTGATAGAATGAAAAGAAAACTATATAAATCTTAGGTAAGCGTCCTGTGAGCATCAAGGGTAAGAATATATGGTATTCTCTGAGGAGGCAGAAGCAGTTTCAGAGGGAGAGTCTGGAAAAGTTTCTCTGGTAAAATATTATTTCATCCAGATGGGACTGAAGTATTTAGATTGAAAGAAAATGCTAGACACGTGTGAGTTTTGGGAGACCAGCCAGCTAAAAGATGGTGGCCTGAATTTTGGTGCCACACAGTACACAGCTAGACTCACCAAGGCTCATCAGCTTCTGTCTCAAACTAGCTCTGGAGAGCTGGTCTTATTGACCACTAGGATCTGTTTGGACCTGGGGTGGGATCCAACAGGACCCAGTCGACAACTGCTTATTGGGCATCTGCTAATACCAGGCACGGACTGCTGAAAGATCAAGTCAGTGTTACAAAGCTCAGTCAAGTTTCTGGTCATTAGTGATGTTTACCCAGAGCCTGTGACAGCCTCAGATTTAGATCAGCCTATGAGAAGAAAATAGTAACCTGAAAACGAAACAATAATGGCCCCTAAGAATAGAGTACTGTGACACGGCAGGTACTGCGCTGGGGATTTACATGGTCTTTGAAGCTTACAGCCCAGAAAGATATTATCTCCACTCCGTGTTGTGGAAACAGAGTGTAAAAGAGGCTAGATGACATGGCCACACAACTCACACGTGCAGATCTGCAGTTTGTAGCTCTCTGGCTTTGTCTAGAAAATGTTTGCTGTGCCTAGAACCATGTACCTTTTGCTACACTGGAGTTAGCAAGTACATCATTACCGAGAGACTGAAAAGGTTGATTCACCTTCAAACAAAAGTGAAATTATTCCAAAGCAGAGCTGATAACATAAAGGCTGCATCGCAGCCCTTACTCCTTCTGCAAGGTCTGGAGCTGATTTTAGGCACCCTGAGCTGCCTGGACTCTTCATGCCCATGTCCTAACCCTTCATCTGTGGCTGGGAAGTCCAGACTCAGGAGGCCAATGTGACTAGCCCTTAGGGCAGAGACAGGCTAGAAGCCAGGGTACTGAACCAGGCCCAAGCCCCCCAGCCAGGCTCCCTTCCCTTCCTGGAAGCACCAACATATGTGTACCTGGGGCTGCTGGCCCCGTGGTGAATTTAGTCAGCTTTCTGCCTTAGCTGTTGCCTTTCACATCAGGACCTTCATCAAAGAAAAGCAGGGGAAAGATGCAAACAAAGGCATTCACAGAAGTCTCTCCCAGGCCCTCCACAGCACTGCTCCCTAGACCCTAGAAGAGAGGAACTGGCACTGTAGGCTGCATCTACAGACAGAGGTCTTCCCTGAGGCTGGAGAGGTGGTTGAGGACCCAAGGAAAATTCCATTTTTCTACTGACTGGGAACATGGACCACCCAGGCCCCAAACCTGCCAGAGTTCTAGTAACATTTCCTAGTGTTGCCAGTGAGGAAAACTGCTTTGGTTCCTAAGCTGATTCTTGGAGGTAGATGCTTTTATCAGAACTAAGAGGGACTGGAAGTAGATTCAGGGATAAAGATGGAACTTGAAGGGAATATTCAGGGTAGCAAAAAGGGAAGGGAGGGTGAGAGAGGCGATCTGGGAGTACAGAGGTCAGAAAGACTCAGAGAGTGTTGGCATGAGAAGCTAGGGAGAAGAGAAAGTATTAAAATCCAGCAGAGACCTAAGTAGCTCAGGAAGATGGAACTTATTTGCACCATCAACTAGGATAAATGGGCTCCTGCTGCACAGTCTCTTGACTGGTTGCCTTGTGAAACATACCAATTGCCTTTTCTCTTCTGATAAAATGGTGCTTGATAAAGATTGATAAAATGCTTTATTACAGGCAGGTTTAAGGGTGTTTCAACAATACAGAGAATGAATGGCCTCAAAGTCTATAAAGGCCTGATTTTAAAGGCTAGTAGCCAAATGTTTCCTGGCCAGGGAATTAAAAAAGCAAAAACAAAACTCCGAGAGAAGCAAATTAATTTAAAGGTGTTTTCTGAGCGTAAAGAGGCCACGGCCCCACAGGATTTGCTGAAGGAGATTGTCAACACTGAACGGGTACAGGTGACATTCTCTCCTGCTCAGGTACTCAGTGGGAGACAGTTTCCAGATTTTTATGGAATCCAGCCTGGAAGAGTAAGGCGTGAAATGGAGGAGGAGAACTGGGATCCCCAACTTTCTCTGCAGTGGAAGGTGACCGGCACTGACTGGATTCCTTCCGGTCCTATCCTCCCTCACCCCCTATATCACAGACTCACCTCAATTCGCTGACGCCCTCCCACCTAAGTAGGGTGGTGGACCCTCAGGGAACCCGTGGGGAAGGGAGTGAAGAGTAGGTCCCGGGGACAATGAGAAGGAAAGCCAGCATCCCAAGGCTTCCTACCTCTGCTGGGTATGGTGCAGGTTGGGCATTGGGCAGTCACATCAAGTCCACGGGAACGGAGCTGTGAAGCGCACAACCTGCGGAGCCTCGCCGCAGCCACTGCTGCTTTTGGCCTTTTGGGGGACAAACTCAAAGCTGCCTGACCCTCCAAGCGGGTTTCTTCCGCCAAGGGCCCTTTCACTGGCTGCCATCTTCTGTCGTCTCGAGGCCCTAAACCATCTCTCCAGAATCGTCGTGGGAGAGGGAAGAGTGAGTGCAGGATCCCACCCAGAAGGTTATATGGCTCGTTTGCTAGGGATCTGGAAACTTCGGGCCAGGGGCGACCAAACCC